AAGGATCTATTTGGAAAGAAGTTACATTAGGATTTGGTCCAGTTACTTCATATGTGTCCCCTTTTGTTGTCAGCTGCAGAAGGATACCCCATAATCAGTGGCCTTCTCAAAGGCTATTTAGGAATAGCAGAAAGAGTCTCCTGGTAAAAACACAAGTAATTTTTTCATCTACCTACAACAGTTAGCTCATTGTTTCCAAGATGGGGAAATGACCACCAAAACCCAGACCTTTGTTTTTGTTTTGCTGTTTTTGTATATAAGGCTTGGAATAGCCCTGCAGTGTAGTTCTGACCTTTTCATACAGAAATAAGAGGCGTGGGAAATGGAGTTTCCTGTCAGCTCTTAAAATCTGTTTCTCTCCTTTTTCTTCCTGTCAATGCCTGTTTTTTCTCTAAAACCTTGCTGGAGATATTGTTATTTCAGTTAGGCCATAAAGACCCTCACCTGCCACTGCCAACATGTTTCCTAGCAGAAATAGATTAGCTCAAATGACAAGATTCAGGTAAAAGCTCAACTATAGTGTCTGGTGCATTATAGAAAACAAGCAGCATGCAATATATGGTTTAAATATACTTCTCTATTAATATGTGCTTTATTTAAGATTTACTTTCTTATCTATATTGTTTTAAATTCAGAGATATAACAGAAATTTTTTGCTTGCTTAAAAGCAAGCATTTCACAAGATAAGATGTCAGAAAAGGGCAGAAGAGTATAGGATGGTGACAGGGCAAATATGAGAATTGAAAAAAAAATCAATTAGGCGAATCAGTCTGGTTTGTGAAATTGACTAAATTAGGCAAATTTCTAAGCCAAATTGGAAGTGAGTGTAGGAGCTCAGGCAATGGGTAATCTCTTGTACTACCGTTTTTTATTTGGTAAAATTGTTGTTGAAATTTCTAGAGTTGAAGTAGATGAAAATCTTTAAGAAAGGGATTATGCCATGTAATATGCATGGCCATTGCTCGGAGGTGAAAACAAAGGCTTATCTTCAAAAAGGTGATCACTGTTTTGTTTGTTTGCTTTTTTTTTCTGTTGTCATAATTTCACATTTTGGAAAGAACATAGTATTAGCTATTTCTGAAAAATATGTTCTAAGAATCCTTCCTTGAGAATGCCCCTTCCTGGAAGCATTCAAGGCCAGACTTGATGGGGCTTTGAACAATCTGGTCTAGAGGGAGGTGTCCCTGCCTATAGCAGGAGGTTGGAACTAGATGATCTTAAAGATCCCTTCCGACCCAAACCATTCTATAATTCTACAATTTTATGATTCTGGTGAAAAGGGTGTGCAGACAAGTTACGTAGAATGATTCCTTTCTGTGGAACTTTGATCCTATAGATTATGACAGATTCTATGACAGATGGAGAATAACAAAATAAGAGATTGTATAAAAGCAGTCATAATCCATTATTCTTTGCAGAACTGCTATACTTAGTGCAAATCGAGGCAGGGGTCAGGATGCCTTTTTTTAGAGGACAATGCATTTCTACAGGTGTGTTTTGGCACAGCTGAAGGTCTAATTGCATGAAGAAATCTTTGAGGAACAGCATGAAAATATTAAGCAAATGAAAAATAAGCCGTGCAAATTTAGTAGATCAGGGAATCTAAGAAGCAGAATAATTAATTCTCATTTTGTTGGTTTATTTTTGAACTTTTTTCCTTAAAAACTGACTTAGAAAAGAAGAAAGGGTTAAATAAAAGGACAGCACTGTAGATAAAAAAGAACATCTACTTGTGAATAAAATATTTCTGATCAATCTATAACATAATTGAAGGCTTCAGCTGAGCTAGCTATTACACTGCACCAACTGATTTAATTTGACCAAAAAAATAGAAAACCCTCTGATCATCCAGCTGTATAATTGACTTAAGGAGTAGAAATAGCCTGTTTCTTCTTCCATTTTGCTTTTCCTTCTTTATTTCTGGAAAGAATGTTGCAGATCAGTGGAAGCAAAGGTATGTTACTTTGTAATTTTTTTTTATTTTTTTTTATTTTTTTTTGACAAATGGAGGCTCTGTGAAGAGGGCAATGTGTGACTTAAATTTGACAACATCCACTTTAATAAAACATCTGAAATATTATTAGACTTTTGCTAGTATCTTCATGAAGTTTATCTAGAAAACTGAAAAGGTCACTGAGGACAAGTAAATCTTAATATTCCATGACAACAAAAGTTTTCCTGCTACTACAGATGGGCTTTCTGACGAGTTGAGGTGAAAGAAACATGATTCTGATGTTTAGTGTGTGTATGTACATCTATTTTCCCATACTATATGTACATATATATAAGATAGAAACCAAACACAAGGAAAAAAAAAAAAAAGAAAAGAAAAGAAAACAAAGCAAAAGAGGAACCATACAGGATTATAGAAAAGACCTTCAAGATCAAGTGCAGCTGTCATTCTGACCTGCCAAGTCCCATCATTAGACTGTGTGCAAAACTTCTGAGCTGTAGTGCAGCTTTTTGGACTGTCAGTTGGGTGCAGATCATTAGCATTAGATGCACAAAAGGGAAAAAAGCTAAAACATTCTTGAGAGGAAAGTGACTGGGCAAATTCAGAGCAGTGCTGAAGAGATGCAGCTTTTTGGTAGGGAGAGGGATTGGAGGAGCTGCCCCATTTTAAATGCTGTGTTCTTTTAGGTGATAGGTAGAACTGTCTTACGGTTGCACTGCATTCTCCTTCCCTAATGTTTTCTTTTTGCATTGCTATAGTCATTTGTCTCTGACAAGATCCTCTAAGCCAGAAGGACCAGCGAGAGACCAGGTCAAGGATATGAGGAATAGACTGTTTCACTGAAAGAGGAAAGGATAAACCAGCTGAAAAGACCTCAGCATTTAGTGTGCAGAGATGTTGCAAAGGAAAGTGATGCAGCAGTTAAGCACTTGGTGGTAACTTTCCTGTAGCAGCAGGCCCTCTGTTGTCCTGAACAGATTCCTCCAGGACTTACATAATGGCTTATTGGCATTTGCTAAAGTAAACTCTCCTCATGAAGAAAACTTATAGGATAGATTTCAGAAACAATTCAAGGTCACAGCATGTTTGGTACAACAAGACATACAAAAGACTGAGGTATCTAGGGCCTTCTTTGTCTCAGTCTTTACTGGTAAGCATGATGTTTAGGAACCCTAGAGATCCCTGACACCGGTGGGAAAGGCTGGAGAAAGGAACGCTTTTCCTTAATGGCGGAAGATTAGATTAGGGAACTTTAAAATAAATTGGACTTAATTCCATGGAGCTAGATAGGATACAACCATACGTACTGAGGGAAGCTGACCAATGCCATTGCAAAGCCACACTCAACTATTTTTGGAAGATCGTAGCAATTACAGTGGTTGCTGAGAACTGAATGGAAGAGTATCTCACTGCCTTGAGAAGGAGATGATTGGACTAGGCAACATCCATCCTCAAATGTGCCATGCTTGTATGAAATTGAGTCTTTGCAGTAAGTGAATGAAACTGCTTCTACCACATTACTAACTGAACTCAGTACTCTATTTGGGAATTGTGTGGCAATAAGCAGTTACTCGAAGAATATGACTGCTGACAAGGACACACAAGTTCCTTGCTCAAAGGCCTGTCTACCAGACTCCTTTTTAGATTCCAAAGAGATGAGATGCTCTGTGGCTGATTCTGCGCTTCATAAAATCAGTACTCAAATTTCCACTGGGAATAGGCTGTAACTGGTGAGCTCAGGCACGGCTACAGTATCATAAATATAGATGTTGTCCTCTCAGGAGTGCCTCGGGGAGCAGGGCATTTAGAGCAAAAAATCTGTTTGCTTCTTGCCCTCTGTTGTAACTCCCCCTGAAAGCTCCATGGCTCTGTTGATCCTTGGGGGGGCGATGCTAAAACTGCAGTGGAAATGCCACAGATAACGAACGCTATCATGGAAAAAAGAGAAGGTTGATCCAAATCCCTATTTTTTTCTGGTGACTCACTTGAATATCTAGGATAACTTTGCGCTCTCTGTCAGATATTCTGCTTGCAACACTTTGTGTTCATGTTGGCAAAACAACCAACCTTACTGGGTTGTTGAAAGGATTTCTGACTCACAGTTGTCTGACTCATTTAAATTGCAAGTTAAAGTTGCATGGTTTCTTACGTATGTTTGTGGATTTCCATGCAACACATTCTGGCTTCTGCATGATGGTAAACGAGAATGAAGATCTGCTGAGATTACTGCATATTTTTGTTTGGTTAGGCTTTGCTAAGCCGACTGATGCACATTTCTTCATCTTGTATTTTACCTCATGTACTAAGTAGGCTATAGTCTCTCTAGTTGGAAGGTGTAAGGAGGCTTTTTCAGGGAGCTAAAAAGTAAAAATTAAAAATACCAGCTAAACCACAATTTTTTTCTCTGATTATGACAAGATTTTGTTGATGTTCATGTTTTATTTTTCACCTGTACAGGGGATTACTATAAGCAAATTCACTTCTAAGTCTTCGTGTGTGATTAGAATCATTTGTTCTAGTTCATTTTTTTTTTTCTCTTCCCTTGTTTAGTTGTGGAATAATAATGGCATCATTTTGATATTTCTATGACATAAAATTAATATCGTATATTTTTTTAAGCAAGACAGCACTTTACATTTATTAGCTGACTTCTCTGTTTTTTCTGATACCACTGTTACTATAGAAAGGAAAGTAATCTATTCTTGAATAGTTGTCAGAAAGGATCTTATTGCCAACTTTCTCTAGGCAGGAATCCTTATAGTCGAGACATCACATTCATACTCAGATCTTATTTACTATTCCTAATGAGAATGAATGTTTGTATTCCTGTTCTTAGTCAGTTTGCTCATCCTTAATTTGTTTATGAAGAAGCAGGACTGAATGTTCTGCAGCATCTGTGAAATATTAACAATTTCTTCCCAATTACGTCACTACTAAATAGCAGACAGGATTTCTTGTAGAGAGATCTGGAAAGCACTGATAAAGAGAAAAGTTTTTAGGGGTTACCATTTTAACAAAATCATTCTTTACATGCAGACTGCTTTAATATTCTTTATTATACTAGCTTTATTGTCACAGAAAGTCTATAACTTTATGTTCTTGCATTACGTAGTTGTCTCCTAACCTTCTCCCTTGAGTATGCTAAGAGTTGTCTGGGTAAGTCAGAAATGAATGGTAGGAGTGCAGGGAGGCACTGAAAAATTCCTTTTGGCTGCGGGCTTCAGAACAGTTCACCAACTAAATTTTCTGTTTGACAGAAAGGGGTCAGGTTGTTACCATGCAATTTCACAGTGGCCATGATGGTGCTACCCTAGGAGCGCAGGAAATCAGTGGTGACAGCTTCCAGTTTTGGGTACAGTCTGCTGCTCGTCTCACTCACTGCTCAACAATGAAAGAAATCTGCAGCAGTTCTTTTGCTAGGATTAAATTGCTTTTTTCTGTGCATCAGTTCTGGTGCTTGATTTAGTTTTCAAGGGACCCAGCAAGCTGCTATTTCCCTCTTATAACTGCCCATTCCCTCCATGCTTTCAGAGGGAGGAAAGTGACAAGTCAGGGGTGGTTTCTTTTCCCATTGTGAGTTCTTGTGTTGGAGACAGTCTTTGTGCAGAAATTGAAGGGACACTTCTGTTGACTGCAGATCGTTTAGCCAAGCTCCAGGCTACAAAAGATAACAGATCCCAATATATTTAAGAAACAAACATGCTCTGGGAGGTGTACTAATACTGGTAGGCTATGTTGCTGTATAAAATCTATTTCTGTGCTGCTAACCTAAAGGCTGCATTTAGGCAGGTGGGTAACAGAAACGATGGAAATAAAGACACATGGAACTTAATTTTTCTGTAAAGCCTAAAGCTGTACAACTTTCAGAAACAAACCCTCAGAAAATTAGATCTCTCTGGGTGATGACTTGTGTATTATTGTAGGCAGTGAAACAGACAAATGCTTTTTTTAATATTTAAAAGAAAATATTTCCGTGAACAGAATCAAGAGATGAATTTTTTTTGTTGCTATTTATTTCTTTATTTTCTTCAGGCCAAGACATTGAAGCACCCAGGTTGTCTCTGGGAAGTAAAAAGTTTCTGAGTTTTAAACTCTTTGCAGACTGGTACTGGAAACATGAGTGTGTGGAGTAATTTACTATTATGTAGAGAACCTGGGACAGTGAATGCACATCAGGTTTGCCTTTTTAGACTGTTAATTGTTTCTATGTGAAAACTCACTGGAAAGGACAGTAAGACTTTGGTACAGATTTTAATCCTTAAAAATAGAAAATAAAGAGCAAAGAGAATACATATTTCTGTAGTTGGGGCTACGAGTTGGAAATAGCAGTAGAAGAGAAAAATTTGCTTTTTATTCATTCAGTTAACTGCACAGCTGGCTTGGGGTGAGGATACTGTAAGGGAAAAATAAATACATAAAGCAAGTAAACAGTCCTAGAGGTTGCCAAATGAAATGTATCTGCTTGACATTGAACAGTGTTAATTCAGTAGTGGGGGAAAAAAAAAAGTCAGGCTTAATCTCAAGCACAGAACATAAGTTTGTTAACTCATGTTCAAGAATTATGAACTCGGACTGGAACAGGTAGACAGAATTGCTATGCAATTAATGAAAAGCCTGTCTTATGAGAAGAGACTGGAAAGAGATTGCTCATTTAACTTAGGAAAATGAAGCTGAGTGGGATCTAAGTGCTGTCTATGAATACATCACAGAGCAGGAGAAGTAGGCAAAATGGAGGGAAAAGAGATGAGCTTTTTAATCTTGAAACGACAGGCACAAGAACAAATGGATATAAACTGGTCATGAATAAATTTCAGGTTGGAAATTAGAAGAAGGTTCCTTGCCATTAGAGGAGTCAGACTTTGGAATAGCCTTTAATTAGGATAGCAGGGGCAAGAAATTACCAACTAGATTATATTAGATGTTGTGTTGCTGATAGCGCAGGACTGAAATCAATCAATAAAAGGGTCAATTTTAGGCTCACGTCTGTACATTCTGCTGTACATTCTTTCCTGTGAAGATATACATAACCTGATCTCCCTCTCAAAAAGCAAAAGCAAAAATCGTGGCAATAATTTTGTACATAGTGCAAATGGTATTTTGAGGTAAACAATTGTGTTCCATTATTATATTGCTGACATCTCACTACAGCTAGATTCGTGGAAAAGTGGAAAAGAATTTGTGTAGGGGAAGAAAATAGCTTTGCTTTGGGGCAAACAAATTGTTCATTAAAAAACTGTAAAGCCTGCATATTTTAGTTCGGCCAAAACTCAAATAAGAAAACACAATAATAAATATCTCCAAGCTGTAGCGTACTGAGGGTGTGGTGGAGGAAAGAAGAGAATTAGTTCATTTAGTAGTAACTTGGGGGTAATATTAAAAGACATAATGTTACCTTGCCATTCTGTTTTCTCCAGCCTTTTCTAATATTCCTTTCATAGCACATGCAGCAAAATGTAAAGTATTTGAGGTGAATCAGGGAGCAGACGGACTGGTGTTAGAGATGGGAGTAGTACTTAAAATTATCTTCTTGTGAGTCTGTGTCTTTTACATCTAAATTGATGCTATGCTATTCTGAATGAGCAGTTCTGTTATACTTTGGCTTATGAGAACTAACAAGAAAGCTGAAGAAAAGAAGTTTAAATTTATATGATGCCATCAAAACTAATTAATGCTTCTATTTTAAACATTGATTCTGCTTATCTAATATAAAGACTGTGCAACTTAGTCTAGTAGATGATGTTTGGGGAAGGATGGATTTGAAAAGCATAAATAAACATTTATCCTGTTCTTCAGCACTTACTGTAAGATCAGCCTAGTTTGAACACAAGCTTAGACCTCCTTTGATGCAGCTAGGCTACAGAGGCCCTCAATCTCTATCTTCACACCTTCTAATATTAGCACAAAGCAGTGATCGAAAGAGTTGTGCATCACAACTGAGTGGTTCAGAAAACTACTTATGATCACCACCTAATAACTGCTTTTCAATTGAGACAGCATTTTCAACCATAGGAGTGATGACTTCTGTTCTGGAGAACTAAAGCCTACAGGCTTAAAAGATGATATCACTGCCCAGCACCTCTTGGAAGTGAGTTAAGGAAAGGAAAGGAAACTTTTATGTAGTTGGGCTGCAATCTCATCTGGAAGAGGATTTATCAGGTGCTGCCTCTCAGCTGAGAATGGCTTAGAATGATTGAGTCTTTGCCAACTCTGTTTTCTATGCACAAATAAGTAACACAGAGGATAGGAAGTGTGTATTTTGTCCATGTCTGGGCATATTGGAACCCAGTCCTCAAAAATAAATTCAGTTGCAACAATGTAAGAAAATGTGTTGATACTCAGGGCATGAGATCTTTCTAGTTGTAGACAATACTGCAACCTTGTGAAGCATTTCTGCTGGAAATCTTCCATATGGCAATACAATTGTGTGATAAATGTTTAGCTTTTAATAGCACTAATGACCTTGATAGAAGGTAGTTCTAGGGATTAATGAACACCTGAGGTTAATGGAATCAGCTCCATCCAACCAATCATTAATTCTGAGCCAATGCCCCAAACTTTGATCATTAGTGCTGAAAATCAAAATCAATTTTGCATGGTTTGGGGCAACTTTTGACCAGAAATGTCAACAATACAGGCTCTTAATTTTGAATATGACCTTCCTCCCTCCAGTATTTCTCTTTTTCTTCCTTGCATTTACCCATAATAGTTAAATAACATTTTAAGGCAAAATGAAATTGCAAAATATCTGTGTGCTGTATTCTGAAGTGCCTAGTTTATTAAATCATGAGGTGTGTTGATAATAGAAGCATAACAGCTTTTTACATGAAGCGCTTCCAGGTTTCAGAGTCTTACAAATAGCAGTTCTTAATGATTTTGAAAGTATTTTCTGAACACTTTGGACTTTGTGTTTGAATTTAATAATGTTTGAGTTTAACACACTATTAAAAATGTTGGTTTTGTGCATACCCTGTGCCTGTAGGTATATACAGGGTGGTTAAAGAGCTGTGTTCACAAACACTTGAGCTAATGGCTGTTTTAGTTGCAAGTTCTGATTTTTCTGGAACTTCAGAGATGCTATGTGGACTTTCAGAAATTTACCAGTAACTTCAGGTGTTCCACTGCAGGCCACTAAAACCGTACAGCATACAGACTCCTCTTTTTCAGGTGAATACAAAAAATATTGCAGTATACATTGTAATGAAGTATACTACTCTTCACATTTTATAAAAAAGCAATCTGGGTATGTGACAATGTGCACATCAAAAATCTCCTGAATTGTATGGACTGTATACTGTCCTATCTATGTTTGAATGTCACATATAATATTAAACAAAGCACTCCATTTTGATGATGATGATGCTGACCTAATTTATACATGTATTTATATCTATCTTTATATATATACGTACAGTCAAAATACAAGAAAATATTCTCAAGAATGAATGACTCAAAAAAAAAAAAAAAAAAAAAAAAAAAAAAAAAAAGACATGGCATTACTAAATGGCATTACTAGAAAAGAAAACAAGTCACTATAAATAATGATTTTCACTGTTATACAATGAATTTTTGCTTACCTCACTATTTTTTTTTTGTTAAAAGACTAGGGGTGAAGTTTAAACTGTTGAAGACAATGTCGGAATATCTTGTCTCTTTGATCTCTAGGATCAAAATTAAATGTGGAAAAAAAATCTTCATTGATTAAAACAAATAAAGAAACAGCCCCCTACCAAATTCTACCAAATTTGTAAAAGAAGACCACAGTGAATGAACTCACTCGAAAAATATTTAAAACAAAACCCAGTCTAAAAAATCTGGCAATTTCAGTTTGAAGGTATATTTTTTATAATATTCCAAGAATTTTTGAAAAATTTGTCTTATGAATACTGTTGTGCCTGACTTAAATCACCAGTTACCTTGACAAATTTATAATTTTAACGAATTTCCTCTGAATATTATCTCAGGCATGAATCTTGGTTGATGACAGAGCTCTCTATTTCCGCCTGGTGTAACAACTTACATTTCAACTGAATTTTATTTTTGCTCAGTTTTGCAGGAGAAGTAGTTGAACAGTTACTGAAGTGCAGTGACACCACTGTTGTCCATGGTACTGTGTGTAGATTTTTAAACGGTTTGTGATTGTAGAGAATTGTAGAGACTCACAACCACAGGAAAGCTTCCCTTATGCAACACTGTGGAGTTTTATTAAAGTTATTTTTTATGACCCTGTTAGTCTTCATAGATGTTTCTCCATGGGATTTTCTTTATGGCTTAAAGGATCACTGAAAATCTTATTCTAATAGCCGATGCTACTTTGCAGTGAGATGCTGGGGGGTGAGATGCTTAGTGTGGAGAGCAATGTCCTGGCGGGCTGGGAGGCAGCAGCTTGTGCCGCAGCGCCATAAACAACGCACTAACGAGCACCAGATAATGGCTGCAGCTCCTAAATAATTTCTTTCCCTGCAATCGAGCTGAAACTTGGAAAATATGGTAGTTAAAAAAAAAATTGTCTTTCTGGAGAAAAACAAATATTTTCCCGTTTGATCTACGAGCCCTTTTTAATAACATTTTATGGGATCACACGGAGGAGAAAACAAAATAAATCCCACAAAAGCAGAGATCGATAGCTGTGGGCGGGGTCTGCGCACACCCGGCTGCTTGGCATGCACAGGGCGTCCGGCTGGGCGGGCGCTGCGGGGTGCCGGCAGCAGGGGGTGACAGCTGTGACTGATGGGCGCGGGTGCCACAGCCCTTCTGGGCAGCAGCTGCTTGGCGACGAGAAACAGGCAAAACAATCAATGCCTCTGGTTTTGGGGGACGTGTAACATGGTCCCTCGGCTGTGGGCATTTTTCCATCCCAGGAGCCATGAGGACGCTTCCCTGCACTTATCTCTATCAAACGCTTCTGAATGAAATGGCTCCACCCTATGAAACAAAGATGGACTCTGTCCAGCTGCAGCCTGAGCTGTGCTTCATTTCCCTTATCAGGTTTCCCTGATTAAATTGGACTCAGGGCACCCTCATCCCCCCCGCAGTTTTCCCCCAGCTGCCCCAGCTTCAGCCACGTCCCCAAGCACAGGTATACGTGAGGAGGAACCTATCCATCACCTCAACCCGAAACAAAGGCTGAGCTGCAGAGTGACGATTGCACGTTTCGTGTTTAATCCACTGTTTGCACTTGATTTATTTGTCGAATCCTTTGGAGCAACAGAGAGAAAACCCAGGCAGTGCTTGCTGGTAAACGTGCTGTTAGTGTCAGATTCGGAGCTGGAAGTGGGTGTTTGCAGCAGAAAAAGGGCTTTAATAAGGGGGGCTTTCTGGGGAGTGCAGGGAGGGAGAGGGCGGGGGAATTGCTCAGCTCTTGTACCCTGCCCTACAAATAAACCAGGGCGGTTGGTGGCAGCGATTCGCTGCAGAGAGCTGATGAGAGAAAGGGAGAGCAAGGATCTAAGGAGAGAAATATATTTTGCCATGCGTGCATGCACACACACAGACAATCACATGGTTTTCCATCAGCCAAGCCTCTAGTGTGACAGAGGGAGGGAGAACAGTCACATGCATCAGCCTCATAAAATCTGCAAAAGCCCTGTTCTCAATTCAGCCATCGGCAGCTCCCAGACCTCACGCAGAGAATTACAACGAAATTCTATTTGCAGGCTGACATCCCTAATGCTGCCGTGTCCTTATGTTTACTTCGGTTAACTGTCAGCCCTTATAAAGTGTGCTGTGCCACAGCCGCTGCGGTGGGAAAAAAAAACCCTCAGAAAGCTGCTTGGGGGGAGATAGTTGAGAGGAACATAAATAGAAGAAGCAGAGGAAGGAATAATAAAAAAAAAGGAAGGAAAAAATCTACTTGTGTATTTGCACAATGTGAGATTCAAAACAGAAATTGCTCAAGCCTTGCTTTCAGTGCATTTCTTGATTTTAGTCTCCATGGATAAAATATTTAACAGCCATCTTAGCACTCAGCATAGCAATAACCAGAGAACATCCGTGCTCTCAGCCTCTGTTGAGGCAGAATTCCAGTGACATGAAATTTCCTTTCCCCACCTCAGATATGATGTGCCGTCTAGCCTAGCTTGAGCTTTAATGTGAATTCTTTAGGAAGAAGAAAAAAAAGCCCCATTACAGCATGTCGAATTACTGAGACACACACATGGCTTTCTGGAAATTGCAGACTGAAGTAAGCCACCGGCATCACTACATTTACGGGCCAAGTATCTCTATTTTTCCACTTTTAAAAATACGTATAACCCAAATATTACTTAATTTTATTATTATTATTATTTTTCTTTCACTGGGAGTCCATGTATAGGGTAGAATTTCATTTTTTGCAAGCACACTTCAAACCAAAGACCATCTTTCTCTAAGGAGCGTGCTTTCTAAATAAAAAATGTTGGTGAAAAGAATCGATGTGGGAGCTCTGGCAAAGAGAGATAAGTGCCAAAGATTGCCCCTGTTATTCTGTGCTCTCTGGCCAGGAACGGAAATAAGAAATAGCTGCAGTCCAGCCTGTGTGTTAATACTATTAATTATAAAATCACTGGATTTTTATTTTTATTTTTTTTTTTTTCAGGTAGGAAGTCAGGAAAACATTAATTACAAATTTACTTGTTAGATCACCTTTCCTTGTATGGCAGCTCATAAAGAAATGACTGATGGGAGCTGGGGAGTTAGTGTATTTTGTTTTTTTTTCCCCTTTCTTTTGAAATTACCAAATGTTGGCAGTACCAGCTCTGACTGAGCAGTGTCTTTTCAACATGTTTGAAGGACTGCCTCTCCCATTTTAAAAGAGAGAGAGTGTATCAGTTCTTGAGATTTTTGTTAGAGCAGTTATGGTTTTTGGTGGTTTCTTCTCCATGCAAGCTGCCAGAATCAGGAAATTGCACCATCTATTCAGTTACTGTTATTCAATAAGTAAGTATGCCTTACTCTTCTGGATATTTAAATTGAGATTTGGTGAGGCTAAGAAACTGCCAGTCAAGTACCAGAGCTCCAAAGCTCCTTACTGAGAGGTGTTAAGTATGAACTTTATCTGCATAGGTTTTGTTATAGGTTGAAGTTTGGATGATGAACAGATGGCTGAAGCTAGAGCCAAGAGCTAGGCTTTTAATTTAATATTCTTATCTTTAGCTTTTATGTTGCTATTCACTTCCTATAGCGTATATAGGATCAGTTTTTCAGAGTTAATTTTCTTACACCATGTTATCAGTATTGCTTACCATTTTTTCTGTTGATTTACCAAATTTCTGAGGATTAATCCAGAGCTATTGTGGCCATAGAAGTCAGTGGAGGAGGCATTTAGGAAGTGGCCTGAACTCCTGTGAAAGAAAACATTTACTAAGCTAAAGGCTGCTTTGAATCAGGATGAAGGTCAAGTTCTTTATTTTCTCACTTTCTGAGGTGTTGACCTCCTTTACAGATCCTTTCTGCCACTTCTGCTATTGCTAGCACTGTAGATGCTTAAGGCTGAATGAGAACATGTGTATTCAATTTCCCTAATGACTGTATTAATTTATAGAAAAGGTGAAGGGAAATGGAAATAATAATATGTGCTGTGTAACGTGGGCCCATGATCTGTCAGCATTTGCCAAGCACGACCAAGACCTATTATGCAGGTAGAGTCATCTAAGCGTAGTATAAAATATGTTTTTGTCTTGAATTACAAGTATGGAAATCTTAACCACACTGAAAACATCACAGTGATTAAATTGAGGTCCTTATGTTATTGATTGTCGCTATAGAGATTTCCAAGAAGTTATAATTTTTTATGCAATCTATGTTGGTAAACGGATTTACAATTTGCTCTTAGCTCTTTTTAGTGTGAATTCTTTTGGTGCTAATATGTTGAGGAAATCAGCTGCCAAAAACAGCATCCAAATGCTTGTACAGTGGTATGGTAGAAGTAACGCACAAAACTACATGAACATTTCCATATCAATCATAGATTGTTGACTACCTGTGTGAACATACTCTGAAGGCTGATGATCTCACGTTTCTTAACTGAATTCTTGTTTTCAGTTCTTGCGTGAATATAGCTAAGTTATTGCAATGAATACTTTAACTTACTGTCAGAAATGTTTAGATTATTTTGCAGTTATGAATGTTCTACTGTGTTTTCTAGGCAAATGAATACAGTTAGTAACATTACAATGATAAGGCATTCACTGTTTACAAAAAAACATTTAGCTCTGCTGTCTCTGGGGATTTATTTGTAATATCTGTATTTTCACAGCTGCAAAATACAGGTGGCATGGATTGCTGTTGAGTGAGTATGACATGTTTTTCAAAGGCAGAAAAATGAAGTCAACAGTCACACGACTAATTGACAATCATTAGTGAGTTGATCTTTTGCACCAATTGTTGGTTTAAGGATTGAAAAATCTATCATTATCCCTGACAGCAAAAATTAGCTTGGTGAGATTCCAGCTCTCAGTTGACTAATTAACTTCTTTAATGCTGATAGACTTCCACCAGGCTCACCTAGGAAATACAGCCATGGTAAAAATCCTCAGATATTGATTCATTTGAATGTAGTCTTTTGTGGGGAACTACAGTGTCAGGAGGTACATGAACAGTCTATCAGCAATGAAGGTATTAAATGAAAGAAAGTACTCTCTTGGCTGCCTTAGAGAAGAGGGTAGGCATGCCCAAACTAAAATATCTCACTTGAGTTTGTAAAACTGAATTTTAGAATAGGGAGTTTCCAGAGTGTTCTTGTAGCTCCAATAGTTGAAAATTAACTTGCAGTCTTGTCCTATTTGATTACTTTTCAAAAATAAGTTTTTAAATTCTGTATGGCAAAGTTAGTAATGAAAAAATGCTATAGCTGATAGACATATTTTTGAATAGTCAGTAATAATAAAAGTAACTTTTCAAGATAATATGATTATTTCCATGTTTCTTCAAATTGCTGTGACCAATTGGCTGGTGTTTTATAGCAAGAATGTATAGGTCTTTTGGGGAAAATTTGACATTTACTCTCTTAGCGGAGACAGATCTAGCATAAAAGGCACGTTAATAATGGTAAATAACGAAATGTTAGATAAAAGACACGGTATGACAGGCAATATAAAGATATAAGGTTGATCCATTTAATTCAGATTCTTCTTTTCCTTCGTTTAGCTATATGATTTACTAAGCTGAAACTGGAATAATGATGTATATTTGGTTATTGTTAAGTTAGATGGCACTCTGATGTCTTTCATATCATTTGGGCACTCACACGGCTTTGTGTTCCAATTTATTACTATCCCAATTTTCTCTGACATCCTGAGGCGTTACTATCATTAGTTTTATCTTTAATTTGACTACAGCAGGGATGTGAAATTAATAATGTGCAAGTTTTTGAACAGTCTTCGGCATAACACCTTCACATAACTCATCAACTTCTCACAATATATTTTTAACTACTTCTTTTCATTGGAATTATTGGTATCCTAGAGTGTTCAAATATGCTGGTATCATTTCAGTGGTGATTAACTGAAAATGCTTAATTGTCAACAAAATATGACCTGCTTGCCTTCACATTTTAAGAAAGACCTGTGCCAGACTTGCTTCCATATTTTAATCTTCTTTTGTTTTCCCCTCCATCTTCAAGAACAAACAAACAAAAAAATGTGTGTATGATAATTCACATCTCAGGATCCATGATTTATCTTGTTTTTAGTGGTCAGGATTTGGAAATGTTGCATGTCAGAGTCACTTGGATTGTGCAGTAATACTCCACGTTCGGGTAGACAAAGTGTGCTCTACCTCTGAGCCTGTGGTAGCTTTCAGGGAGAGAAACGGATTTCCCTTAAAGGACTTCCAGTGATGGATTGTTTCTGAGAAAGTTTGTTTGTTGACTTACACAGAATCTTAATGAAAGATACTGTTCAGATACAATTTACCAAGATTAGGCAAAGGGTGAAGAACTGGAAGGGTTTGGACCCCATTGCACAGCCACTCTGTGCAGATCAGGCTTCCTCTGTTATGACATCACAACATGTAACAGTGGGGAGGCAGAAACCTGGTCTCCCTATAGCCTCTGTACTGTCTGCAAACTAAAGAATTCAGTATGAAATCTAGTGTAAGTTTTTCAGGAATAAGAATTAGCAAGATTGTGCATTTATAGTTAAATACATTGTTCTTTTCTGAACTGGAGTATAAAGAGCTGAAGGAATCTAGTCTGCGTGCAATATGGATAGGACCTGTAGGAACTGATCTAGTCTGCTTAGATTCATCAGTAACAGGCTGCTCTCTTACTAACAAGTCCTTTATCTCAGAATAACATAAAAGGCTTTTGTCCCCTCAATTTTTGAAGCTCAATGATTTGTGCACATGTTTTTTGTTTGCAGTAATCCTCACCAAATAAGTGTGTTTTGCTGGCAGTTAGTTCTCCGTATTCATTCTGCTGCTCTCAGTGTTTTTATTTCGTAGCATGTATCAGAGCAGTTCATTTATTTAATTTGAATTTTCCTCTTATAAGCTTTAAGAACCAAGGCTTGTGTTAGATCCCACTTCTGTAATTTAGCTGAAACTGAGATCAGGCCTTTAGTAGTTAGGTATACCCTTAATTTGCTACATGATAAGTATCAGTAAGTCACATACTCCAATGCCAATCACATATCAAAGGCTTTTTAGAGAAACAAAGCATGTTATGAGTCCCTGAGACAATTACAGATGCTACTCTGCAACTCGCTCTAGCAATGGGGTTCTGTGCTCTGGCCTTGGGTTTATCACTAACTCACCACATCAAGTTTTGTAATTATACCTGAAATGCCCTTATAAGATCTCTCTTACAAGGGACAGTAAGATTTTCCAAATCTCTTACCATTTTATTTGCAATTCTTGTAAATTTCCCAATGGTAAAACAAGATTTAAAGGATTTACTTTATAAGAAATCTAGTTATTTAATGCCTTGCAAAATTCTCAGCACTTAAATTTTGCTGTACTTTACATGCCATTATTTAACTGGAATATATAAAGGAGCACAATGTGTCTGTTAGTAATTATTCATGCAGTACCAATCACTTCCTCTCCAATCTTTTCTCCCCTTCCCCCAATTAATTAATCTCTTTCTCTGTTCTATTTTAAAATTACCTAATTACCTGTAAACAAAAGGAAACATGCCTCTTTTTTTTTTTTAATGGAGCAGTTTAATTTTTACTAATCTTATTAAATAATAATATAATAAGACTTAACAGTTTTCATACAAAGAGCACACTATAGAAAACATGAATGCATTTAACTGGTGTAAAACAGCTTGAGCCTTTTTCATTTCCACTGTGTATTATGTATTTTTTAAAGAAGAAAATGAGACACAGGAGAATTATTTTTAACTTCATTGCTTATGGATTATTAATTCCTTATGACTGGAGTTATTTACATACTGAATTGTTAGGCAAAGAGCAATTAGGAAGACATAGCATTCTCAGACTTTGAGCAGTCAAAATAATGGTCTGTTACTGCTTTTCCTTTCTTTTCTTTTCTTTTCTTTTCTTTTCTTTTCTTTTTTTTTTTTTTTTTTTTTTTTTTTTTTTTTTTTTTTTTTTTTTTTTTTAAGAGAGAAATAAGTAGAAAAAAAGGGCTTATTTGGTTTGATAGTCACATTTCCATCAGTTTTCCCATGTGGATACATACACTGTGACATGTATTCTTGCAAAGCTAGTATTGTAACGATTCGATATGCTCTGCTTTTATATCTGCCTCTTGACCTGCCTGTCACATTTTAGCAGTTTTGTGCTTTAACTACATACTGAATATTTTCTTTTGGGCTACCATCATCTTACATTCAACACCTTAAATTCAATTGCCTTCCTGTGGCTCTCTTCCTCTTTCAGTGCCTCAGAATTTTTTTCTGCTGTAACCCTCTCCCGCTCATTCTTTTGGCCCTTCATTGACTACCTGTTTGTTTTTTTTTCCCATAAGATTCTGCTCAATTTTTTACTTTCCAGGTTCTCACATATCTGACTCCTAGCTGCTTTTCTGCTGTGTTTTTGTCTTACTCTGTTCTGAACTTTCCTCATGCAGCTGTTCTTCTTACTCCTTTACCCATCTCCTTCCTGTTCATATCCCTTGGCCATATCTGTCCATAGAGGTTTACCTTTCTCAAATTTTTTCCCAGGCTTGGGTAGTCTTTAGGGGCAGGAGAGAAGTATATAGAATTGTTCTGAAATGCTTTTTGTCATAGTTCCTCAATTCTATGGCTACAAGAAATTGCAGTTTTGTTTTGGAGAAATGTATTTGTACAATGCATACCTCAGGTCAAAGAGACTTTCTGGGAAAAACTGCAGGCTCCTGGACACAGGTGAATATGAGTGAGGTGATAAATACATCTGCAGGCAGGGTTGTGCTGGCTGCTAAATAATCTTCCAGGGCAGATAAAAACTTGCACTTGATGACAGAGGAGAACAGTTAGAGAGACCTCAGGGCTGAATTTGGCTTCATTAGGTGTAGCAGAATATGTTGCTTCAGTGAAATGTTTTAATGGGAGGAGAACTGAAACCTTCCAAACCCATCTTTGGTAAATGCAGAAATAAATGACATTTTCCTCACACTAGAGCTAGGTTTGTCTTCGCTCATACATTAAAATTGCAACTTTCACCATCAGTCTATCTTTCGTGTCCTTCCTGACAAAGACTGTCTATGCCTTATTTTAATTCCTTTTCTTTTTTTTCCTTTCATCCCTGGTTTTGTGAATGCAGAGAATTTTCTCTCAGGAACTGAAACCAATGTGAAGTAATGTTGTTACTGCTTAGCAGTAGAGCAGGAAAGAAAAGAAAGGCCAGATCTTTATTCCTCAGTCTTCAAGCCAAGTTATAAATGTGCTGAGACATTCATGACACAGTAATATTATAGTATTTCATATAATATGAGAGTATCTTGAGATCTCTGTTAGAAACATTTCATAAGCTATTTAAGAGTTGATCTAAATTGCAAGAGAAAGGATACAGGCTCACAGGTTATTCTGTTCTTAATGCAAGATGGATTAGGGTTATGATAATGAATATCTAAGGAATTAAACAGGATTTGTCACTTGTTGCAAAATTTTGACCAGATTGGAAATCCATCATTGCTTTTTCATGAAAGAATCTTGATCTCTGAATGAGACCTCAAAGTTATTACAGTCTTCATAAAAATGCCTCTTGCCACTACTAACATAATGTTCTAATAATATCAAAGCAGGTTCAGTCCTCATAGTTTAACAGGAGCTGAGAGGGTGCCTAACAGAGGCTTTTAAGATCACATGGGTTTGCTTTAAGGGGTTAATTTTGCCCCACCCTTCCAACTAGTTACTGTCATGCATGACTGTTCTTCTCTTCCCTGCAGTGTGTAATAAGCAGATGGAATGGTCAGCAAGTCAAAATACGAAATATTGGAAAGGTCATAATCCTACAGGATACTGCTGTCTTTCTCATCTGTCTTATGATTAGGACGACTTGCTCTTGTAGCAAGAGTCATAATGAGGACTATAATGAATACAACTTACATCTATTCCTCTCAGCCAGCAGCTGAAAACAAAGTACAGGTGAATTAGTACTAATGAGGGACCAGGCAAGGCATCTTTTATTTACATGAGCAAACGTTTCTCATTATACTGGGAATCATTGAAGACAGAAAGGATTGTGGCTCACTCAAAGATTCTTTTGATCATAAACTATTTAAAGTAGAAAAAAATATGTTAAAGTTGGTTTTGTTTTGTTTTTTATAAATTGATCTGTGACTGGATTTCAGATCAGGAGACTCAGGTCCTGGCCATGATATTCATGTAGACTTTAGTGCAACTTATTCCAAGACTACTGGTGCCTGTGTTAGACTGAAGATTTGGAACCTGTGGCTGTACAGCTTCAGAATTCTTTCCGGTATTACAAAGCTTCTGCTGTGGGAATTGCTCTATTAGTGAAAGTCTGTGAGTGGCAAAGGTGGATCATGTCTCTGCCAGCATAGGACAGTAGCAGGTTATTAGCTGTCAGAAAGTATGCACATAATGTGAATTGCTTCAACTATTCACTCCTGAAGGAGTTGGAGATGCAAGTGTGGAAAAAAGCAAAACATGTTTTGGCCATAATACCAGGGCTGAAATATTTATAGGAATCAGGTGTAATGAGAAATTAAATTAATTCACATGAAGCACTATTGCCATAGGTACAGCAGTGTCCTCTGGCAGGCTCAGATGAGCACACCAGCTGCAGGCCTGCAGATAGGTCCCTGTAGCCTACAGCTACAAATACGGCTGCTGGAGATGAAATTCCGAGATGTTATGTTGGTAAAGCTGCCACGCTATCATCTCCTTTTGCCTTGTAATTTATAGAAAAATACAGAAAACAGGCTTCTGTTTGCTCAAGCAGTGCTACCAAAGTAATCTATTTGTGAAACAGAGCAAGATTTCTGCCCTTCACATACTGGTACACAGGACCAACTGTGGAAAGGTGCTTTTTCTTTGGAGCAGAAGGGAGAATGGAAGTAATGAAGTATGTTCTAATCCGAGTCTCTATTCTGTGTTTTATTTCATTATCTTGACTGTCATTTAAGCCATAATTTCACTATGTTTGAATGATTTGTACCTGAGTTCCATCTCTGCAAATCCTGATGTCCAGTAGATCTGTCAGTCAATGCAATAACCTCATGACTTACCTGGCAATGACTGAAGGTCATACTTAGCATTTTGGTAATCAACTTAGAACTGGGTAAACAGAAAAGCATAAACATGTTGTGAAATTTGGTTTGTTTTTGAAGGCCATGTGCTATTAATAGTATTGTAATCAGGATTAAAGTAGCAGTCACCAACACCCAGCAAAATTAATAATCACTGCCTATTGCAACATAGAAGCAGTTACTATGCCAAAGGTACCTAAGACACTATGAGGGATTAGACAACTATAATGATTTTTCCATGGTTATGTAGCTGGTCAGTGGCAGAGCCAGATATGCAACAAGTCTCACAGTTTCCTGGTTGTGTCCACTATTCTGAATT